TATGTGTTTTGCAAGTCTCAGCTTTTCAGAGCACTCAACCATCTGCCCTAAAATCCCATTCATCTGTAAGGAAGGGGTGCTGCAAACAAATATTTAAGTTTCTCCTTTCTGAAGTTCACTACAGAATTGTAACCCCTTTGGCAACTGGACAAAGTAGGTGTTTCTCACGTGGTCTCTCTCTCAGGCAAACAACTGGGTGAGTAGATGCACTGAAGGGGAAGATGTACCCTGGAATACGCTCTGCCTATTAGAGCATCTCCATGGTGTTGGAAGTGTCAACATGGAGGGACCTGGCTTCTCACCAGGGCTCAAAATGGTAACTCAAGAAAGCCACAGTCCCCAGGACTTCAGCTGTCTGACTGACCTGATCCAAACACAAGTCCCTACTGTGCAAGTGCAAGAAGCAACAGCCCAAGCATCTGCAGGAGAGTAGATAAAAGTCTGGCAGAGTCAAATTCCAGCAGCAGAGCCTGTCCACACACTTGCAAAGCACTGTGAAACCCTGAACTTGTCAGTTCTTAGGGGAATGGAATTAGCAGTACAAGAGCTCCACAGAAAGGTGTAGTAGTCCTGGCTCACGGCAGGGAATGTTTTGACTACAATGCAGCCAAAGTCTCCAGATTCACAGTGGGTTGCAGAATGCTTAGCAGTTTCCTTACATCAGCACCCAGTGTGCTCTCATTCAAATAATGGGTGATCTGAGATCACCAAACTTGCCTGATCACTAGCAATGATACCTGAGAAGCAAGAGGAATCATGGCTGGCAAGAAGTATTCTCAGCAACTTCCTTTGGTATCTGCATATTGTTATATTGATTTAATTACAACTGCAAATGTCAAATTACACAATGGCAAAGTACCTTTTCCAAACACCTTCTGTGATTTCTAGGAAATGGACAGCCCCTATCTCAGCTCCAAGACCAGCCCTCAGCAGGTTGAGGTAGCAGTTGGGAGTAGGCACTCTGGGACCCAGCTCTGCTGCTGCCCTGCACCACGTGAATACAGAGCCAAAGCCACCTCATCTCAGTCTTTGCTACACAGCTCTGTGCGTTGGTTATCTTTGTGCATGAGGAGCGTTGATATCACCCAGCTGCAACATGTAAAACCCAGGAACAGCCATAGCCTAAATCTGACCTCCAAGTGGCAAGCACTGGCAGAGCCAAGAGGTGCCCAGAGAGAAGCAAAGCTGCTCTGGATTTATCACTGTCATAGTCATAGAGGTTGTGTTTCTTCACCTCTTCCCCTCTCAGCTGCCTCTTTCGCTTTCAGGCACAAAGACATAATCAGTGATTTTGCCGACTGATAAACATTAGCAACTGATGCGTTTCCCTGAGGAGCAAAGGACAGGACTGAGAGACCAGCTGCTTTCAGGCTGCTCCAGCATTTTCCAGTCTGCTGTGTCAGGAAAGACATTTCAATACTTGGCAAGACTGCAAACACAGACAGAGGTAATACTCAACACCCAGATGAGGATCTCCAGTTAGGGTTGGGAGGTACGTTCTGAACACACTGTGAAGGTGATAGAGCACTGGAACAGGTTGCCCAGAGAGTTTCGTTCTTTGGAGATATTCAAAAGTCAGCTGAACACAATTCTGAGTAATATGCTCTAGGGGACCCTGCTGCACCAGGGAATTGGACTAGATGAATCTCCAGTGGTCCCTTCCAACCTGACCTGTGATTCTGAGCAACTTATAAGGAAGCCTAAAGAGAATATGCAGTGAAAAAATTGACTAAATAGATAAACCAAACTTAACCAAGAGATTTTAGCTTAAAAGAGGAAAGCCTTGAACACATGAAGCTAACAGAGGATTTGATTTTGCCATCAATTTTACATCAGATGCTCAGACATTAACTCTGTTGGCAACAGAATAAAATCAAAGAGAATGAAATACTTTAAGGCCTAAATATCCATCAGGCCATCAAGTCTGACCTCTGCATGTAGCAAGTATTTCAGAATTTCACCAAATCATTCCTACATTGAACTTGATTTTTTTTTCAGAAAGGAATCCATTCTGAAAGAAAAGGATGTGGGAATGCAATAATTCAGGAGAGTAAGGCATGCATCAGGTGTGGCTTTCTTGGGAGCAAGAAAGAGGGCAAATGACAAAGGCTCCCAGAACATGGATTATAACCATGCCTCACCCAGCTGCTCAGCCTCTTCGTTTAAACTCTGGCCCTGTATTGCAACAGATGATGTTGGTGTTGAGAAATCAGCATCCCACCGTGACCTGACAGCACTGAGCAGAGAAATAAGGCAGAGATTGCCACAAAAATGAAAATATTCTCACCAAACCTAAAAAAAAATATAAAAATCAGAAACAAAAAGCTTTTCTTTTAAAAGAAGAAAGCAAAATGCCAGCATCTCCCTGCCTCATAGCTGAGCCCAGGGTTATGCCACAATTCAGATAAGCGATGTTTATATAACTGGCATTTGGCTGAATGCATAATTCCTATTTAACAGCTGAAAAGCGACATTTTGGGTCTTCAAAGAAATCTGACAGGTAATTCCCACTGTAGTTCTGCAGGGTAGCTGAGAGGTAAGTATCCTTCTCACTAGTAAATCAATTAGGAATGAATGTATGGAAAGCTTTTCTCCTCCTCCAAGTAACTGCTAATCCTCTAAGCACTAATGAGTAGACAGGGCTATCAACATGTGCAAACTCAGAAGCTGAGAGGCATGCAGGGTCCAGTCAGCACCTGGGAGTGAATGCCTCAGGGGAAAATATCTTGCCTGGAAAGGATCTGCATGTTTCACAGTGGTCACACCGGCCCTGTGCATGTGTTACTATTGACATCTCCCTCCCCACTTATTGCCACAAACACCTTTTCTGCAGCTCACAAGAGATCACTGCATCATGTTCAACGAGGCAGCACTTCTGGTGCTGGAGGTGATACACAAGGGACTTGGACTTTTTCTATGGGAATGCAACTGATTCACCTACTGCTTTGTGATTTGCTGCTGGTTGTTCTCAGGAGCTCAGCAAAACCATTCTGCTTACTCCCCAAGCCAGTGGAACAATATTCATCCAGAGAAATGGAGAAGACTGCAATCCAAGTGCATTTTTTGCACTGCATAGTCTAAAGAACCTGTTAGGGGGCTGGGTGGACAATAAACCCAAAACTGAATATGACAAATTCCAGGTGCTCCAATCCAGTGACACCTTTTTCAGGCATTTTTCAAAGGTTGCATGAATGTTTGGAATTGCTTTGGTGGTTGACAAAGCAGAGTTCAGACAGATCAGCTGTCTAAGCATGCACAGTAACATTGTTTATATTTTTTGCAGAGATAGAAAAACAGAAAGAAATTGTTCCCACAGCAGCCAGCACTGAAGATGGTCTCCAATGGGTTTCCCTACAGCTTGTAGGGAATTTCATAAGATTTTTCAGAAAGGATGAGAAGGGGAAAGACAGACAGATGGGTCCAGAAATCATTTTCTTAAAGCAGAAGACCAAAATATTTCTTTAAAATTGTCATCTCAAATAAGAAATCAGCAGGTAAAGATAGGTCTCCATGCCACTATATGACGCAATGTAGGTGTTTTTAATTAAAAAAAAAAAAAAAAAAAAAGGAGAGGAAAGACTGCTAATCTGTAAAGCTCGGTAGCTTGAGAAATTGCCAGAAGATAATAATAGATCCTCATACTCCAATTTCTGAGGGAGTCTTTACACCAGTGACGTAAGATTTGTAACCGAGCCTATTGCCTCTGTTTTTGGGTGGGCAGAGTTGCTTTGGAAACAGAATGAAGAGGAATTAACTCTTCAGTTCTCACCATATTGGATATGGGAGGGTTATGAGGGCCAGGAAAGCACATTAAAAAACATCTTAATCTATCTTGTTCATGAAAAAAACAAACAAAAAAAACCAAAAAAACCAAATTAAAAACAAACAAATGAACAAAAAACAACAAACCAAACCAAAAAAAAAGAAGGCAAGGTAGTTGTCACAATAATTCAGCTTCTGCTTCAGGAAAAATATAAGCTGAGCCCTGGCCACTGCATTCTTCCTCTTCCCTGTACATCCAAATACGCATAATAATCAGAGCAATGTCTGATACACTGAAACAAACGTTCAATCCTAGAACCTCTGTAGACTGACCAGTGATGGAAACCACAACAGTAGTAATAAGAACAGTACAAGTAGGCAGTTACTAGTTTGGAAAACCTATTGATGGAGACAGAGTATGGGCAGTTTGGAAGTGATCAACTGAATAGGTTGCACCCCATTTAAAAGCAACTTCACCGTCAGCAATTAGCTTCGTGCTGCAGCCCTCCCACGCTGATTTCTGTGGGTAGCTGAAAGCGCCTTTGTCCCACTACCTCCCCTGAATCAACACAGGCAATAATTTTAAACCAAAAGGCACTGAGGAGTAACTCCTGGGCTGTGCTCTGTGAGCCAGCTGCAGCCCTAATTGCATCATGTGGGAAGCGTGAGCAGAGGGTTTGAAAGCTGTAACCTCATCTTCTCTCCTACACATTCAAATCAAATTGTAGGTCTCCCACCCACTCCCAGGCATATTCTGCTTTCAGCCCCCCTACATGATGCAACCAGTGAAAATGCCATTTACATCTTTATCTCCGAATTCTAGCTAGGGAAAGCATAAGGGAAAAAAGAGTCAAATGCAGAAATAAATGCCTCTTAGTCAGTATTTCTAATAATAAGGAGACAGAAGGCAGGGAGAGGTATATTAGCCAAAGCCAGTGTAAGCAAGAATCCCAGAAACATTTGTGTGAATTCAGCTTCTTTAAAGGTGAACAGTCAGAAGCAAACAAAAGCAATCTTTTCATTTCTCTAACACGTTCAGCCGGGAATTAAATGCTCCATCCTCATCACAAGTAAAACAGGATCAGTTCTACTGGATTCTGTGAAATTGTACTAGTGCAGCTTAGGCGGCAAATTCAAGATCTTGCGAATTACCACCAGATTTCACTTTAGGATCATAATTCCTCTCAGAATGCTGTGATTTTGTTTCTATAGCTACCAGCTCGATGGCTCTCCCTTACCTTTCTCTTGTTAGTGGGACTGACATATAGGTAGCTCAGCACAGTCTTCAGGCCTACTTTGTCATTTAGCTTTTCATAGGTAGTGCCATAGTCTGTTGACCTGGAGAAAAGAGGAGACAAAAAGAGTTTATGTGGTTATTAGAGCTCTGGGGAAAGGAATGACTGTGTGAACAGATGCTCAAAGTCACAGCTTGAGCATTATTATGCTTAAAACCCAAGATTTTGTGTTTCATTCAGGGTGGCTAGCAGAAAAGAGAGGAAAACTTGAGTCCTTTGGGGCAGGGTCTGTCTCTGTATCAACTGATCCTAACCACCTCAGCAGCTGTGGTACACCCATGAAGGTGGGCTTTGGGGGAAGGCTCTGCTCTCATTTGCCAGTGTGGGACTGCAAATGGTATCTAAATGAGGGGACTCTGATATCAACAGCATCCTTAGCACAAATTCTCTTTTCAGATAAATCCAATATAAGAATCCAAATTAAACCCATCAACAACAGTTTTATTTAGGGAGGTTGATTTTTGTCTTGGAGATGGGAATCCAAATGTGGCTCAGAATTGTAACAGCTGAACTCATGTCTAGATAAAAATGTGCCTAAACTGATATCTTGAGTCCTCAGTCACCCCCATTCTACTTTGTGCCAGGCATTTAATTTTTGTGAGTTACGGATTCAGGCCCCTACACTAGCAAATCCCACCCAGAGGAGCAGATGATCTGGGGGTGGTATTACCCATTCGTGACTAGGGAAAAGGGCTGCCTCATCACAGAGGGTTTTCTGTAGCTTCCTCCTCCTCATTTGTGGGCATGTTTGAGACCTCACTTTGCCCTGCTTCTCTGATGTTTTCACACTCTGTTTTCCTAACAAACAAGATTTTCCCACTAGAACAACTCAATAGCTACCTCGTACAGGATGCCACACCTGAAGAGTGGTCAGCACCAGCTCACTTTAGGAGGGGCATCACAACTTGCATGAAAAGCCTGACCACCCCATCCAAACAGTGGGGAGCTTCCGACACTACACAGCTTCTGTCATAGGGACAGAGTAAACACAACCTGTAGCAGATGGACAAGGAGAGACCTTCACAAAAAGCCTACCTGGTCATACCTATGATTTTAATAAGATGAGAATCCGTGGCCCCTGCCTTCCCTTCCAATCACGCTTTTTACCAAACAGATGATCAGAGAACATGCAGCAATTCAATGCCTTTCCCAGTAACTCGCTCCAGCAACTTTCTGAATTCCTAAGCTCAGCAAGCCTCTAGCACATGCAGCTTTGTGGTTCTGCCTGAGACCAATTTTCTGCTCCTCGTCTGTCTAGGAGACAAATGGCCCAAGCCACCTCCTGGCATCACAATGAACAGTGCCACTGCACCCAGCAGCTCAAGGCACCCACGCAACTGGCTGCAGAAACTGAGCAATGCCAGAGTCTGCATCCAGCTCTGCTGCTTTCCTTGCTGCTAATGGAGCCCAGAGTGACACCAAAAGGGCTCCAAGCCACAAAACCAGCCTCTGGTTTCAAGCTTCCAAGTAGAATGACTCATGAAGTCAAAAGCTTTTTTTCACTGATGTGGCTCCAACACATTTGCTTCCGTGCATCCTTCAAAGACAATTCCTAAATATTTTGTAACTGGTTCTTTCCTTAAATGGGTTGAACAAACTTTCCTCCTTTGAACAGAGCAGTCAGGTGTGGTTCAAGTCTTAAAAAACTTGCTTGTGTTCTGGTTTAGCTCTTCAATCCTGAAATAGAGCTAATACTAGCTCCTTTTTTTTGTGTACAAAAGTACTTTTTTTGTACTAATGCATAGCATTGTTACCCACTGGGCTTCACAAAGATGCCCCAAGGGATATTACAATAATGTACTCTATTTTCATTGAAATTTCCTCTCCAAAGTATCTGAAGCTCTTGTCTCACTAGGTATCAATACCAGAAAAAAAAAAAACAAACACAAACAAAAAAACACCTAACAACTTTCCTCCTCCAGCCATGCTTGAAACTGAAGCAGCTTTTTTAATAAAACTGAATAATCCAGGCTGATTAATTCCAGTACATGAGGCCTCCTATAAATGCAAATTCAACAGGTCAGGAATCCTCAAGTGACACTAAGCTCTAAGCGGAGGATAACACACAGAGGGCAAGCAGAGGTACTTCCTTGATCTCACCCTTCCAACAGCACTGAAGCTATGAATAAGCCACTTTTGTGACTACACAGGTGCCAGCCAACAGCCAGTGAAAGAGATCACTGGTTTCAATCAGCATTAAAAGAGAATACAAATAAAAGTTTAATATTCTGACAGAGCTACTTTGGGTTTGTTCTCCGAGTAATTTTAAGTTCTCCCAAAATGCTTTGCACTTCTAAAGATGCAGGCTGGATGCCCTAATGACTCTTTCTCATTAAATCATTATCACTCATTGCATTTGCCCTTTCAAAGAATAGCTAGAAAGGAAGTAGGATCATTATTTCGTTAGGTTCTCTGAGGCTTTCTTTATTATCATGACAGTCACCACTGACTTCACAGAAATGTCTCAAAGGATATCACAATAATATACTGTATTTCCATAGCACTTTCCCAGCCAAAAAATCCAAAGCTTTTGTCTCGTGCTAATCCATTCAAAATAACAAAGTCCCAAGAGCCATAGTGGGAAATATTATCTCTATCCTAGAGATGAAGAAACTGAATATAGGTAATGATTCATTTTTTCAAAAGCAGGCATCTACAATTAGCCATTTCAGCTTCTGCAATCATCTACTGTGTGGCTTGATACTCAAACCTGCTAAACTCTTACCATCAAACTGCCTAATCTGAAAAGCATTTACCAAAAAAAAAAAAAAAAAATTGCCTCCTGATTTTAGCAATCTAAGCCTGAAAATTTGAAGACATATGACCCATAGGTGAAACAGAGCAGTTCTGGCTCAACTGTTAATCTTAATTTAATCCTTTCTCCTTTAATAATTACTTCTAATTCCAAATTAACTAGCCCACACTTCCGTATACTTGCATGACACTGCAAGCAGACTGGATACCATATTCTCTTCCATTCCTCTGGTCAGAATAGGATCCACTTCAAAGCACATTATTAAAGGAGTGGAGGGGGAGAAAGGTTGTGGTGTCAGTGATATAAAAGACCTTTTACATGAGTCACACCCAAAATGCCTGCTTAAACTTTGGTTGGGCCCTTTATGGCAAATTAAATTGACCTGAAAGCAGTCAATTGGAAGCAGTATGAATTTGGCTTGTGGCACTCCTGCTCTTCTGCTACTTCTTCTTCTCCTCATTTGCTTGGTGTTCCTGCCTATGGCAGGAGAGGTGGAACTAGATTATCTTTAAGGTCCCTTCAAACCCAAACCATACTATGAGTCGTTGTCCCTTCTATCCTGCTTTCCATCCTGCAAATCAAGATGTTGGCAACGCTCTAAGAAAGGTTGCACAGTGAAAAGCAGTAAAAGTCAAGGCCTTGCCCGATTTTGAATGGACCTTTTTCTATTTCAGTTCAGCCTTTTGGTTTCTATAACTAGTGGTTTCTTTCAACCATGAGGAAGAATCTCTTTGCTAGTTTTGGTTAGCATGAAGAAAGACTTGATTCAGTGCAACACAAGTTGCATATAACCAAATAAATAAGGCCTTTTCCTGAACAGACCGTGGCACCAAATTCTACATATTCCCTTTGGAAAAGCAAAGTTTATAATGTAGCACTTTACTGGGATACTGCAAATTCTCCCATAATCATATTTGGTTATTAACAATTGGGGGGGGGGGATGGAAATCACCTGCGTGATTCCACTGCCCTCCCTTGATGGGCTGTGATGTGTTTAAAACATTGCTGCAATGTCCCACAGTTTGGCAGCTCATGGGCAAGAGATACACCCAGGCAAAGAAGCTTCTCTCTAGAAAACCTGATCATAACTCAGGGCACCAAGAGCTAAAAAAAATCCATTTTTCTTCTGTAAATCTGAGTCTGTGCTTCTCTGTAAGTCAGACAAACAGGCCTGAGCCAGCAAACTTCAGTATTGAGGTAAGACTTGCTCAATCCCAGACATATGAAGTAGAGGTGTGCAGAGGCAGAAATAATGCCCTGTGAATACCTTTTAGGGGAGTTCTTCTCTTGGACGGTTTTCATCTCAGGGGCTCTGTCACACAGAGACAGGTGGGCTTGTTTGTTTGCAGCCTCAGATACTCAGCTATGGAGATAGGCTATAAAACATGTATCAGTCTCTCAGGAGAAAAAGAGGTGCAAATACTGGCACTGGATGACTGGGAGGGACAAGCTGACCTCCTTGTCTGAACATGTGCCACCAGTTCTCCTGTCAGGGGGTTTCTCCTCTGCACCTGTGACTCTCTCTGACTGTGTGGAAGAGGAGCCAACACGGTTTTGATTTTAGATTCTGAGCCATTTTCTGAAGCTTATGCATTCATCTCCAGATCACAGTCCCACTACACATACCTGCAGCCCCACTCTGAGAAGTGTGTGGAGGCACAGCTCTGCTTAAATGAGCAGGAGAATATCCCTATTCTCTGTGCACTTCAGAGAGCAACAGGAACACATACAGACCAGATTAATATTTACTTCTCTTCTCATGGGCCTGCAAACTGTCTGCCTGCAGTGTGCCTGTCTCTCCATATCCCCCAAACAACTTCTTGCTTTTACTCATTGGCCAACTTTCTCCCAGTTTGACAGAGAAAAAAAAACCCAAGAGGAAAAAAAGTTTCTACAAGTTTCATGAAAACCAACAGCCAGAAAAAGCACAGCAATTATGAGGGCTCAAAGAAAAGCTGCAGCATAACACCAAATCCCATGAAACATGATACAGGCACATCTCTCTGAACATCCAGCTGCAGGAAAACATTCAAACACAGCTCAGACATTAATACACTACAAAGAACACAACTTCACAACACTTGAATTCAGGCTGCCAATCTTCCACTGCTTGTGAAACAAATTGTTTCCATCCCTCACCTCCCTTCTGCCCCCTCAAATTATCCTCCCTGAAATAAAGGCCTTTCGAAGCTATGATACGCTGAGAAAAGACTCCTCCTGAGGCAGACTCCAGGGGGACCACCCCCAGAGTACCCCCAGCTGTAAACCCCTCTCACCAGTTACCCTAA